GTCCGTTTACCAGATGGAAATAATACCTTTCTGGGTTGCATGATACTTGGTCTTAGTGAAGAAGAGAATACTGCCGAAATTGCTGGTTTGTTACGACAAGAGTACTGGCGCAAAGGGTTTGCAACAGCGGGGATGATACATCTGCTGGCTCATGCAAGAGAGTTGTTCCAAGATCGGAAGAAAGTCGCCGATGGCGAGCCATTTGAGCGCATTGTGGCTACATGCCATCCCAAGAATATTGCTTCTCAGTTTTTGCTCGAAAGTCAAGGGTTTCATCAGTACACCCCTCCCATTCGATGGAGAGCTGATCGTTTGTACTACGCTCTTACAATTCCTCCCGTCATAAGGAACTTTACTGATGTGCCATGATATGTGGGACTGAAATGCGAAGTTGTGTTGACGACGAGGCAATTTCCTATGTGATTATGACAGTTAGGATCGCGAGGGCATCTTTTTAAAATGAATAAACACGTATAATCATTATGATTTCTACCCTCTCTACAGCTTGAGGCTTGATCATTCAAAATTCATGACGAATTGGGTTCTGCTTTTATCAGATTCCGACAGTGTTTATGCAAGTCACTCCAAACGGTGGTGGTGCGCCGTGTTCACCGGGATAGATGAAATCATCGGTCTCGCTGCTGACTGCTGTTATTATAGAAGAAAATGGGCCTCCAGGCAATTTCCCATGATTATGACAGTCAGGATAGCGAAGGCATCTTTGAAAAATAAATAAACATGTATAATAATTATGATTTCTACCCTCTCTACAGCTCGAGGCTTGATCATTCAAAATTCAGAAAGAATTGGGTTCTGCTTTTATCAGATTCCGACAGTGTTTGTGCAAGTCATTCCAAACGGTGGTGGTGCGCCGTGTTCATCGGTCTCACAGCTGTTGGAATAAAATGGGTCTCCAACTCGTCTGGGGACGGGGAAAAGGTCGTTCTCGGAAAAGATATATTTATCGAGACCATCCTGGCTCTCGTCGGAAGTTGGACTGACAACCACGGGTGCAGGGTGAGATGCCGCAGTTGCAGCCTGGATAGTTGGCGATTTTGGTAAATTTAGCAATGACGCGACTGTTCCGGCACTCTTGGTAGGCGTTTCTTGATTGTCGGAAGCGGTAGCATCCTTTATGGCATCGCAGACTAATCCTTCCAATTCAGATGGGGACTTCTTGGCCCCCTTCGACCTGATCCCCTTCGCCTTGGTGTTGTTCTCACGCAGCATATGCAGCAGGCTCTCACGGGCAGCCTCTCTAGATGCTTCCTTCCAAGCTGTGCCAGCTCTTAATCGCACCACGAATGTTCGGTGCGTGAAGTTACACCATGTCATCAGATGCTCAACAACAAAAAGTCTTTCGGTCTCTTCTAGAAATTTGTACCACTTCTTGCAACGTTGAACAATTCTGCGGAGTGTTTTGTTCCCGGGATGCTTATTGCTGAATCCACCCCGTTCCAACACCACGTCGTTAGGACGACAAACAGTTACGTCGTGCTGATATATGGGCGGTCCTTTGGGATCTTTCATTTTTTTGCTTCTATTGGTTTCGCGATCAATCTGCTTTTCGTAAGATATAGCAGCGACCGGTACTTTCCACACAGCTGCCACAGACTGTGGTGTTTCTGCGAATGTAGAGAACTGAAAGGAAACGTATAATCAATAATTAACAAACAGTTTTTTCTTCGGCCAGTGCGCTTTAATGTTCTTACATGATGAGCATCAGCGACTAGCTTCATTGTTTGGGTTCCGTGTGTTTTATTCGAGTTTAGCTTCCGTTTTAGAAAAAATGACCTCGTTGTCATCGTAAATCCGAAAACATGTCACGTTTCTAAAAGTAAATCCGGGTACTTTCAGGTATCTAAAGGTAAATCCGGGTTCATATTCGCCTCTAAAGGTAGATCCGGGTTTTGAATTTGGGAATTCCCAACTGTTAGATATTATATGCGGTATAATATTTGACTGAGGTTTTTGAGATTCCAGATTCCTTGATGAAAGTGAATTGACGCGATGACCAACCAATAACATAGTGAACAGAATTGTTCATTCTTTTCAGTAAACCATCTAGATTGACTGTTGTTGCAACTTTGATTGAGTGCAGAATAGTTGATACTATAGTTATGGAACTGAAGTAGGTAGTCATCAGTGCATGTAGACTTGATTGGTCACATGGACAATGCAGAGTTAATGACTCGCATCTGAATGATTATTTTGAAGATAGTCGTCCTATTTTCTATTTCTAACATTTACTGAAAATAAAACCGTTTGCACAAGTACAACAACTTGTGCATGCGTCAGTGCAAGAATGATATCTTGCACATGAAGTAGTGACAGCCATCACTGCTTCCACCAAGCATTGTTTTGATGTCAGGGGGGTATCTTCAGTTCTTTGAAGGAGATTGGATTTTGTATTGCCGAAAGTATTGAATGAAGGCTCACTCTGAAGGTTAAAAATCAAGGAGCAAACTTGGTGTTCATTGCTCTCGAAAATACAGCTATTCATTTTTAAAGTGTCGTCTCAAGCAAGGCGTCAACAAGACCATTTTCGGAAGGACACATATCATCCAGTGAAGTGATGATGATGCGGCTGATGGATGTATATAATATAACCGTGCAAAATAAAGTGGAGCCAAATAGCCCTTCCTTTACTTGGCATGGATCCGAAAAGCCGCTACAAGTGAATGGCGCGCCGTCATTTCTTTAATGGCAAAAGCTTTGCCAAAACTTCAGCAACCACCTGCCATTGAAGTGCAATCCAATTGAACTCTCATCAGGCAGCTGTACAACAAGGAGAAGTGATCCAACACCATTGTCATCGTCAGTATGACTGACCCACCGCCGTCATTGCCTTCCACAATGATCAACGATGGAGTGGAAGCAATTCGTCAGGCTCAATACAGCAAGAGTTTTGATGAAGGGCTTGCTAAAGGATCTGGCGAAGGATTCAGCAAAGGATTTGAAGCAGGCCTCAAGACAGCTGTTGAAGCAGTCCTCCAAGTCTGCGAAAATGACACTCATTGCCGATCAATCGCCTTGTCAGTCCTTCAAGAAGCGTTGGGGAAGGAACAGATGCCTGATATTGGCAAGGTTATTATCTCTGCGGATAGCAGTAACACCAGTAGCAGCAATGATCATGAAGAGGAAGCAGGCACCCATTTTACGACTGTTTCAAGCAATCAACATACAGTGGTGAACCACGCTGCTATTGCTGGTCATTCTTATAAACAAGATGCTGTCCTCAGCAATGTACCCAATTGACGTGGAGAGATTCAAGAAGATCAGAAGCCAGCTGCTGGCTGCCCTCAGCAGCAAAATACAAGAATGGCCGTTTCCAGCGCACGTGGCAGTGTACCCAAGCCAAAGCAACCCGAAACTGAAGACAACTTGCACGGCCAGCTAATTGTTGCGCCTTTTGCCAGGAACGATCATCCAGACAGTGATTTTGACAGTGATGTCGCCGTTATTGTGGGAACCAGAAACGCCGGAAGCAATCCATTGACTACGAGTCCGTCATGTCTTTGGCAGAACTCTTAAATGAGCAGTACGAAGCATACACCCAAGAAGTGTCGACTGCCATATTTTCCAAGATCAAAATCTTCATCCAGAAACTCGACGCATACAACCAAGAGTTCCAAGTCGAGTACCAACCAGTCTACAAGAAGCTAGAATATGTTGCCACTGACATGCTTGCTGCAGCTCCAGCTTGGCCAAGCTTTGACCATGAATTTCTTGTCAGAGATGTTTTCGATGGAGTGCAATCCTACACCACGAAGGAACCATTCGTCTCAGCAGCAGTTCCACCGTTGCTATCCCTTGAGGACGCTCAATCGATTGCAATGGAGGTATTGGACTCGACCACGTTTGGTGTCATCATCATTGCCCTCCTCGTCGCTGCTGTGACTATCATTTATGCCAGCAGTATCATTGATCAAGGGATCATGTCAATGGAAGAATTATCCATTGTCTTAGAGACTCCCCCCTTTGTCCATGACTGATTTGAGAAAGAAAATGACACCGTCGTACATACTCAGATCTGCGGCTGCTTCTGCTAGGTATCGAGCTAGTTGCGAGAAGTCTAAGGACCCTTCCATCGTGGACCTCTGCAACCTATTTGCCAACACTTCCTTCCTGAAGGATACTACGGATCCTTCTAAAAATGAGAGCTTTTAAAAAAGAGCGACTCATATGTTCATCTACCTCTACCGTTTGACCCTCCTGCAACATCAAGGCCAACTCGATCTTTAAGAGTTGGCCCTCAGGGGTACTGCTGCACGAAGGCATTGCAGTAGGTGGTCGCGTAAGTTAAGGAGGACATACAAATAAAAGCTTCGGTGAAAATGAGAGGAAGATAGCATGGACCAGTGCTCTAAGTACTATTCGTGACGACACTCAAAGACACTCAAAAGTGGTCGGACCTTCAATAATACAAACTTTGAATGGGAACAAGAAGTTCGAAGATGAACTATATAAAAATTTAAAAAAATAAGAGCAATGGATGCAAAATAAAACATCAGCCAATCCTATGTATCCTATTTATATTAGTAGTATTGATATAAGCTATTTCATTTCATTATGTTTGCTTTGCAATGCCCACGATGATGGAATGGCAAGCGGGGAAGTTCATTCATTCCCTCGTGACTATAGACTCATGAAACATGAACGAATCGTGGGTGATGGTGGGAAAGAAAAATGAATTGATATTGATAATAGACGTATCAAAATCAAACCACTGTAATAAACTGAGCTGTCCTTCGTATAGGAGGACAATGACTAATGGCGAAAAGGCCGTGCGGCCAACTCTAGTCAATGTGATCGAACTTTTGCTTGACTATGGTACACGCATGTAGATACCGTATAGTCTACGTGTACTGCCATACTATAATTTGTACGAAGACTTTCACCAGATACACAATATGACTTCATTGCAAACTACTGTTCTTCCAAATCAACTGGCAGAGATCAGTACACAAAATTCCTGGTAACCGTGAAGATAGATCACCATGGCTCCTGGCGACAGTCAAGCAAACATTAAAAAGAAGCGAAAGACTGAGATTGCAGCCAAGGAGAAAGTGAAGCTGGTGAAAAGATTCAAATTATTCAAATTAAATTATGACGACGTTGAAAATCTTTCCGTGTCATTAAAACCCTTCCTCACTGAACTAGAAAAGGAGCGCGGCCCTGATAGCACTCCAACAGATGATGCATTTCGCAGATGGATCAAGAACGTCGATGAAGGAAAGTGGACCGAGGAGATGAGTCAAAAGCGGAACCGTAAACCCAAGCTGAAGAAGGAAATCAGGAACATAGTATCCGAAGATGAAACCAATTCCCTCACGGATTCTGAATATGTTCATGGGGTGCAAGAATTTTTGACAAGATTGCCTCAACTCCCCGTGATAGCGATTGAACGTTGCCAAGAATCTGATCTTACCGAATACTACGATCACCTCTGGAGTCAGCCTAAGGTAATGGAACTCTATAGTGAAGGCGAAGTGAGGAGTCGTGATTATGTCGCCGGGAGACTGAAAACTTGGTGCAAGAGGTGGGATGATAACTTTCCATTTTCGGCATTTACTGTCCGTTTACCAGATGGAAATAATACCTTTCTGGGTTGCATGATACTTGGTCTTAGTGAAGAAGAGAATACTGCCGAAATTGCTGGTTTGTTACGACAAGAGTACTGGCGCAAAGGGTTTGCAACAGCGGGGATGATACATCTGCTGGCTCATGCAAGAGAGTTGTTCCAAGATCGGAAGAAAGTCGCCGATGGCGAGCCATTTGAGCGCATTGTGGCTACATGCCATCCCAAGAATATTGCTTCTCAGTTTTTGCTCGAAAGTCAAGGGTTTCATCAGTACACCCCTCCCATTCGATGGAGAGCTGATCGTTTGTACTACGCTCTTACAATTCCTCCCGTCATAAGGAACTTTACTGATGTGCCATGATATGTGGGACTGAAATGCGAAGTTGTGTTGACGACGAGGCAATTTCCTATGTGATTATGACAGTTAGGATCGCGAGGGCATCTTTTTAAAATGAATAAACACGTATAATCATTATGATTTCTACCCTCTCTACAGCTTGAGGCTTGATCATTCAAAATTCATGACGAATTGGGTTCTGCTTTTATCAGATTCCGACAGTGTTTATGCAAGTCACTCCAAACGGTGGTGGTGCGCCGTGTTCACCGGGATAGATGAAATCATCGGTCTCGCTGCTGACTGCTGTTATTATAGAAGAAAATGGGCCTCCAGGCAATTTCCCATGATTATGACAGTCAGGATAGCGAAGGCATCTTTGAAAAATAAATAAACATGTATAATAATTATGATTTCTACCCTCTCTACAGCTCGAGGCTTGATCATTCAAAATTCAGAAAGAATTGGGTTCTGCTTTTATCAGATTCCGACAGTGTTTGTGCAAGTCATTCCAAACGGTGGTGGTGCGCCGTGTTCATCGGTCTCACAGCTGTTGGAATAAAATGGGTCTCCAACTCGTCTGGGGACGGGGAAAAGGTCGTTCTCGGAAAAGATATATTTATCGAGACCATCCTGGCTCTCGTCGGAAGTTGGACTGACAACCACGGGTGCAGGGTGAGATGCCGCAGTTGCAGCCTGGATAGTTGGCGATTTTGGTAAATTTAGCAATGACGCGACTGTTCCGGCACTCTTGGTAGGCGTTTCTTGATTGTCGGAAGCGGTAGCATCCTTTATGGCATCGCAGACTAATCCTTCCAATTCAGATGGGGACTTCTTGGCCCCCTTCGACCTGATCCCCTTCGCCTTGGTGTTGTTCTCACGCAGCATATGCAGCAGGCTCTCACGGGCAGCCTCTCTAGATGCTTCCTTCCAAGCTGTGCCAGCTCTTAATCGCACCACGAATGTTCGGTGCGTGAAGTTACACCATGTCATCAGATGCTCAACAACAAAAAGTCTTTCGGTCTCTTCTAGAAATTTGTACCACTTCTTGCAACGTTGAACAATTCTGCGGAGTGTTTTGTTCCCGGGATGCTTATTGCTGAATCCACCCCGTTCCAACACCACGTCGTTAGGACGACAAACAGTTACGTCGTGCTGATATATGGGCGGTCCTTTGGGATCTTTCATTTTTTTGCTTCTATTGGTTTCGCGATCAATCTGCTTTTCGTAAGATATAGCAGCGACCGGTACTTTCCACACAGCTGCCACAGACTGTGGTGTTTCTGCGAATGTAGAGAACTGAAAGGAAACGTATAATCAATAATTAACAAACAGTTTTTTCTTCGGCCAGTGCGCTTTAATGTTCTTACATGATGAGCATCAGCGACTAGCTTCATTGTTTGGGTTCCGTGTGTTTTATTCGAGTTTAGCTTCCGTTTTAGAAAAAATGACCTCGTTGTCATCGTAAATCCGAAAACATGTCACGTTTCTAAAAGTAAATCCGGGTACTTTCAGGTATCTAAAGGTAAATCCGGGTTCATATTCGCCTCTAAAGGTAGATCCGGGTTTTGAATTTGGGAATTCCCAACTGTTAGATATTATATGCGGTATAATATTTGACTGAGGTTTTTGAGATTCCAGATTCCTTGATGAAAGTGAATTGACGCGATGACCAACCAATAACATAGTGAACAGAATTGTTCATTCTTTTCAGTAAACCATCTAGATTGACTGTTGTTGCAACTTTGATTGAGTGCAGAATAGTTGATACTATAGTTATGGAACTGAAGTAGGTAGTCATCAGTGCATGTAGACTTGATTGGTCACATGGACAATGCAGAGTTAATGACTCGCATCTGAATGATTATTTTGAAGATAGTCGTCCTATTTTCTATTTCTAACATTTACTGAAAATAAAACCGTTTGCACAAGTACAACAACTTGTGCATGCGTCAGTGCAAGAATGATATCTTGCACATGAAGTAGTGACAGCCATCACTGCTTCCACCAAGCATTGTTTTGATGTCAGGGGGGTATCTTCAGTTCTTTGAAGGAGATTGGATTTTGTATTGCCGAAAGTATTGAATGAAGGCTCACTCTGAAGGTTAAAAATCAAGGAGCAAACTTGGTGTTCATTGCTCTCGAAAATACAGCTATTCATTTTTAAAGTGTCGTCTCAAGCAAGGCGTCAACAAGACCATTTTCGGAAGGACACATATCATCCAGTGAAGTGATGATGATGCGGCTGATGGATGTATATAATATAACCGTGCAAAATAAAGTGGAGCCAAATAGCCCTTCCTTTACTTGGCATGGATCCGAAAAGCCGCTACAAGTGAATGGCGCGCCGTCATTTCTTTAATGGCAAAAGCTTTGCCAAAACTTCAGCAACCACCTGCCATTGAAGTGCAATCCAATTGAACTCTCATCAGGCAGCTGTACAACAAGGAGAAGTGATCCAACACCATTGTCATCGTCAGTATGACTGACCCACCGCCGTCATTGCCTTCCACAATGATCAACGATGGAGTGGAAGCAATTCGTCAGGCTCAATACAGCAAGAGTTTTGATGAAGGGCTTGCTAAAGGATCTGGCGAAGGATTCAGCAAAGGATTTGAAGCAGGCCTCAAGACAGCTGTTGAAGCAGTCCTCCAAGTCTGCGAAAATGACACTCATTGCCGATCAATCGCCTTGTCAGTCCTTCAAGAAGCGTTGGGGAAGGAACAGATGCCTGATATTGGCAAGGTTATTATCTCTGCGGATAGCAGTAACACCAGTAGCAGCAATGATCATGAAGAGGAAGCAGGCACCCATTTTACGACTGTTTCAAGCAATCAACATACAGTGGTGAACCACGCTGCTATTGCTGGTCATTCTTATAAACAAGATGCTGTCCTCAGCAATGTACCCAATTGACGTGGAGAGATTCAAGAAGATCAGAAGCCAGCTGCTGGCTGCCCTCAGCAGCAAAATACAAGAATGGCCGTTTCCAGCGCACGTGGCAGTGTACCCAAGCCAAAGCAACCCGAAACTGAAGACAACTTGCACGGCCAGCTAATTGTTGCGCCTTTTGCCAGGAACGATCATCCAGACAGTGATTTTGACAGTGATGTCGCCGTTATTGTGGGAACCAGAAACGCCGGAAGCAATCCATTGACTACGAGTCCGTCATGTCTTTGGCAGAACTCTTAAATGAGCAGTACGAAGCATACACCCAAGAAGTGTCGACTGCCATATTTTCCAAGATCAAAATCTTCATCCAGAAACTCGACGCATACAACCAAGAGTTCCAAGTCGAGTACCAACCAGTCTACAAGAAGCTAGAATATGTTGCCACTGACATGCTTGCTGCAGCTCCAGCTTGGCCAAGCTTTGACCATGAATTTCTTGTCAGAGATGTTTTTGATGGAGTGCAATCCTACACCACGAAGGAACCATTCGTCCCAGCAGCAGTTCCACCGTTGCTATCCCTTGAGGACGCTCAATCGATTGCAATGGAGGTATTGGACTCGACCACGTTTGGTGTCATCATCATTGCCCTCCTCGTCGCTGCTGTGACTATCATTTATGCCAGCAGTATCATTGATCAAGGGATCATGTCAATGGAAGAATTATCCATTGTCTTAGAGACTCCCCCCTTTGTCCATGACTGATTTGAGAAAGAAAATGACACCGTCGTACATACTCAGATCTGCGGCTGCTTCTGCTAGGTATCGAGCTAGTTGCGAGAAGTCTAAGGACCCTTCCATCGTGGACCTCTGCAACCTATTTGCCAACACTTCCTTCCTGAAGGATACTACGGATCCTTCTAAAAATGAGAGCTTTTAAAAAAGAGCGACTCATATGTTCATCTACCTCTACCGTTTGACCCTCCTGCAACATCAAGGCCAACTCGATCTTTAAGAGTTGGCCCTCAGGGGTACTGCTGCACGAAGGCATTGCAGTAGGTGGTCGCGTAAGTTAAGGAGGACATACAAATAAAAGCTTCGGTGAAAATGAGAGGAAGATAGCATGGACCAGTGCTCTAAGTACTATTCGTGACGACACTCAAAGACACTCAAAAGTGGTCGGACCTTCAATAATACAAACTTTGAATGGGAACAAGAAGTTCGAAGATGAACTATATAAAAATTTAAAAAAATAAGAGCAATGGATGCAAAATAAAACATCAGCCAATCCTATGTATCCTATTTATATTAGTAGTATTGATATAAGCTATTTCATTTCATTATGTTTGCTTTGCAATGCCCACGATGATGGAATGGCAAGCGGGGAAGTTCATTCATTCCCTCATGACTATATAGACTCATGAAACATGAACGAATCGTGGGTGATGGTGGGAAAGAAAAATGAATTGATATTGATAATATAGACGTATCAAAATCAAACCACTGTAATAAACTGAGCTGTCCTTCGTAGGAGGACAGCTCAGCCCCAGTCGACATCCAGCAACAAACTGCAAAAATGAGCGCTTTCAGTACCCATGGCACTATACATCGAAACCAAAGCGGCGAAAGGTTGCTGCCAATAATTCCGGCAGCGAAGGTGACTGTGACTTGCACAATCGCAACTTATCTAAGCCAATCGCTGCGTTTTTTGCAAGAAAGGATCCAAGCAGGAGTCTTAATGTATCAACAACAATGGGAATTTCAACTCCAAGCAAATTTTTAACAAGATTGAACCAACGAGCTACTATTATAAAGGTGTGTTTGCATCGGATTTCTTTGCCAAGATGACTGTGGGAATAACTCACCCACAAATCCTCTTTTGATCCAATCACAGCATCCTACTGCAAACTTGATGATTGCCATAGGCACTTCAACCCAGGGCCAGGATCAAGCCAACATAGCCAACGCATTTGTCTGCGATCCAAAACAATTCAAGATGCTGGATCCCCCCATGCTGGCCATCGAACAAAGCCAAAGCCCTTATTTGGTAAACGCAAACGCTGAAATTGGAGAGCCTTGCTTCATGTATCTGCAAACTAGTAAGATCCTAGTCATGCAAATGATATCTTGTCGCCATTTCTGTGTATCTATCGAAGCCGAGCACCTCTTTGGGTCAATTGCCAAGGACGTTGTTAAAACCCACCACTTGATTAAAGAATCTGGTCAGGTATACAGCTCTAGCTGGATGACTGGAAGCTTTGAAGGGGGGAAATGCGGCTGTCTGACCAAACTGATGCTCCTTCTCCTGTTGCAAGCATCTCGCTTTACGAGAAAATCCGCTGACGACATCCTTGAAAAATTAGTACAAGACCTGGAAGTTTGCTCCCTTGTTTGCACTGCCATGAAATACTGGCGTGGGACCAAGGAGATTGGACCGGATGGCCCGCCAATCCAAAGACAGGGCGGGGACGGATGTCTCATTTATTTTGCATCATCTTTGTGGCTAGAGTCTACCAATGCCTCATTATTCTGAAGCAGTTCAAACTAGAAGGCTCGTTGCGGACGAAGGTATGTCAATGCCTCAGCATCCTCCACGATGCCGCAAAGAAGAGACAGGAGGAGAGCCAAGCTTTGCAAGTAAAACCAAAGAGTCGACAGGTTACCTCAGTGGAGGGAGCGTTGCCTCAAATCAAAGATTCTGCCACCCTTCCTTCCAACGATGACGGCGATGGACTCGTTGTTCCAGTCGGTAAACCGTTGCTCCAAAGAAAAGGCTCTGCCACCCTCTGGTCAGAGGACAGCAGTTACAGCAGTCTTCTTAAAGAGAAGGAGGGACGAGTCGACTTGGGACGAAACGATTGGCGTCGGCCATTCGGGATCTCTCCTGCTTACACACTTGAATATGAAATACCCCTTCCATTCTTCGGCATAGTCCTTGCTCCCCTCCGGAATACAGAAAAGCAGATGAAGATCCTTTTGGGGTCAGTCTTGATAAACAAGGGGAATCATCAGAATAAGAAGACACTTGTTCAATCTATAGTACAGCAAACCCTTCAACATATGGAAGATCTAAGAAGAAGGTACTAATTGCAACATCATTGTCGCCAACACTTTCAACTGTGAACGAAGATGCTGAAATACGAATGGGGCGAAGAAGCGACATAAGTCGAATGTACCGGAGACAATCCTGAGCATGTCATAAAGTACAGAAAGAGATATACCATCCAACAGATTATATGTAAATTGTATTATGCATATGAGAAGCATTCACAGAGAAAAATTTCTGTGTATCGCACTCCCTTTGACCAATAATGGTTCCGAGCGATTAATTGCTACCATGGGAACCATCTCCAGTCACTCTGTAGAAGTCATTAATACCTTCTTGTTCAGCAACTTCATCGTTTTGCATTCCAATCATCGCCGAAACGACGGCGATAAAGGCAATGACAAGCACTGCCAAAATCGCCATGAGATAAATCTGTCGTTTCGTGCAGTATCGGTCTTTCCAGTGAACATACTCCTCGTCACCCTCCGTATCCATAGCAAATCGGAACCGATTGGATCGCAGAATAGCATCACCAAATCTGCCCTCGACATCCCCATGTGTTGGTGATTCTCCGACTGTAGCTGGTGTCTCGGGAGATCTTTTCCACCTTTTGGGAGTAAGCATATCGCGAATGGGAGAAAGAATGTTCATTACCCGCGCTTCCATGGATTCTTCTGCGGGGGGCGAGGAACTATTTGGCTCGTCGCGAAAGGTAGCAAGTCGGAACCGATTGGACAGATTGGATCGTAGCCTAGCATTGACAGATCCACTCTCTATATCCCCATGCGTTGGTGATTCTCCGACGGTAGCTGGTGTCGTGGGAGAACCTTTCCACTTTTTGGGAGTAAGCATGTCGCGAATAGGAGAAAGAATGTTCATTACCCGTGCTTCCATGGATGCTTCTATGGAGACCGCAGAACTACTAGGCTCGTCACAAAAGGTATCGACGGCACGGGCTTGAATGCTACGATGCAAAGTGAAGTTGTGCTCATGCATTAGCACCGGATGTTCGGCCAAGGCTTTTGCTTCGAAATCTCTGCCATAAACATCTTCGTCTGTGAGCTGGATTCTGACGATCCCATCTTCCTCGTCCTCACTTTCTGAATAGTTCCCGTATGCTGGATCCATCATTATGACGTGATCAGGAGGAGGAGGAGTGATCGGAATTGGATCAATGGAAATAAGGTCTTTCTCATTTGGCGAGGTGGTAGCTTCCTTCGCGACGAAATCAGATTGAGTTTGAGCCAAAGTCATTGCATTGAGAGCTTGGTCAAGTTCCTCCATCTCATCGCTGCAGTAGGGATTGGATTCGTCGGCAAAAGGAGATGCCCTGACACTTCTCGATTGGACTGGCGTTTCCTGCTTGAGGAATTCCTTTGTGGGGCTGCGTGGTGGGCTGTCTGCAGGTCCGGAGAGTATGTCCATGACAAACTGTTGGTCCTGCGTAGGCTCTTCATGCACCTCTTGCACGCTCTTTGTTGGTGTTGTCTGCGCGATGATATCCAACAGCTCGTCGTAGACATCGGTAGCTGCCATTTCCATAGACCTTTCCAATGCAGTGGGGTTGGTACTACTATTCATGCCACCGGCAATCAAAATTTCGTTCATGACCTCAGTTGGACCTCTAGAAGCTGTCTCAACTGTGTTTCGATACCAGAACAAATGACTGTGAGTGTTTGCTGCTTCGTCTTCTAATGCATCCGGCTCGTTTTCTTCCTCCATAACAGGGAGATTCATGCTGGCGTCGAATAGGTCTGCTTCCACATCTTCCTTGGCGATCGGATCACTCTTGTGTCCTTGGCCAATACCACTAAAACTCTCATCAAAGGGCAAACTCTCATCAAACGGAGAGTCTTCTTCATATGAAGAATGGGCAGGTGGGTCTTTTCGCAGATTCTTCTTGAAGGATGAACCTTTCATCCTGGTTTTCCAGTCCACAGTTGGCTTGTGTGTTCCTTGGGATAGAATGCCCTCTGCTTCCAACAGGTTATCGATGTCGTCAAAGACACGTTCTTCATTGGCAGCCATCTTTTTGAAATTGTTTGCTTTGTTCGAAATGAAGCAATCTGAATCAATCTGTGTCGAAAAAGAAGGAATAAGTCAAAAAGTGGGTGCGGTAAGGTATTTTGATAGCTGAGTTTGAATTTGAATCTTCAAACCTCTCACGCATGCAAGCACACGCTGGCCGGGCTGCATGCGCGGAAAAGATTCGACCCGTCCGATCACAAAACACCAACTTCAACTGCATAAAAATTGAAAATACAGTACCTGTCTGCAACGAACCCCCATTGCCCTTATTGACCTGCATACCGATACGATGGAAACCGCGGATGCCGTAAGACAGGTAGAAGAAATTCTGAATCTTCAAGATCGATGGTTCGCCAAAGACGGTGGAGTAACAATTCAGACACCTGCCCTGTTTTCCCGGTTGCAAAAGGTGGCTGGGAATGCAAGCAACATGTCTTCAAACAAACGATTGGAGGTGAAGAAGCAATTGGCCTTGGACATCGACTGCTCCATCTTACACCCAGACGACTTATCAGATATGATTTTGGAGGTTGAGTTTCCATCGAACTATCCTTCCACTTCGCCTTGTCATGTCCGTGCCGTAAAGGCTTCCAATCGAGAATCTGAATATGTTCCGTGCTCGGCAGCGATTGAGGCTTATCTGCAACCCTTTGCAGGTTGCGAGTGCATAGATATGCTATTGGACTGGTTATCTGATAACAAATCTACTTGTTTATCAAAGGGACCTGGCGGTGGTGACATTTCAGGTGGCCGTAATGATCATGAGGGACAAGCACTGTGCTATTTGCTAAGATACAACCATCTACTGTCGGGACCCGAACATAAGAAAGAAAAGGCTATGATTGCTGCTGCCAAAAAATTCCAATTACAAGGTGGTCTGTTATGGGGTACTCCTGGTCTCGTGGTTGTAGTGCCGCCATCGACTGAAGAAGATGCCAAGGAGTATGCCAGCGAGTGTAGGACAATTGGCAAACGTGCCGATGGACCCAATGAGGTATGGCTGCCCCAATCAGGACTCGACGAGGCGGGAATGGGCGGACTTGCACAACAAAAAAGGGGAGGAAAGCTACAAGAGCTAGATACAGCAGGACTGCGGATTGGATGTGGAGGAAACGAGAGCCTGCTGAAACAACTTCTCGGAGTAAGCTAGCGTCGGCGCAAGAATTCTACGTTGCTATAATAGTTCTCTACGTTCCCACAACAGCGAAGGCTAGCAAGTAGCCTTCTTCACCAGTTGGGATCAAGCTCATGGCCATATATCGGACCCACAACCAAGGAATTCGAACGTAAAAATCGGCTATAGGCCAAGACTGACGAAACCGCTCCAATGTAGTTTCGTTTGACGAATCACGGGGACATTCGACCGAAACATCCATGCGACACATAAAGTCGTAATCTCTATGCCAGAATCCACGCCGTTGGTTGCGAATTCCGTTGAAGTGCCAGTACGCTATTTCTTGGTCAACAATTCTGCTTTGGTCTCGGTGATGGTCGGAGTAGTGAACATTCCACTCCTTGGGGAGAATTCCTGTACTTTCCGGAGGCAAGCTCTCCCTCACAAGGCGCAGCAAGTACTGGTCATGCACACCAGCAAAGTTTGTCTTCTGCCTTGCCAACTCGTCCATTTTGCGCCAAAAGTGGCGAGGAAATTCCTTCAGATTCATAATCATGAAGCCAGAGCAATAGGTTGATCCGATTTGAATCCACTCCATGTGCTTCTCAGAGTCCAAGTAAGGATAAAGGGCATTCAGATTGCTGTTCAGCACAACATCTGTGTCCATGTAGATCACATTCACCAGATCCAACGGCAAGACCCTATCTGCGATCAATCTGTAGTATGCGCCAATGGTATATATTTTCTTGGCGGTATTGAATGGTGTTTTGTTGGTAGAGTTGTAAATCAGCTCGTTCCATTCGGCTTCATAGTCATCGACTGGGTAGCATGTCATCCGAATGTAATTTCGAGATCGGATTTCCGTCAAACTATGCTTTTGAATACGCTCCCGTATCGATTGCAATGCAGCTTGATTCACAATGATATGGATATGAAGGTGGTAGTCAATCGGAGAATGGATGACAAGGCTTTTCAATTGCACCTCCCACTCGTCCATGAATCCGGTTTGGTCCTTCGTTCCGTCAAGATGGATTCCCACGGCGACATGCATTGTGTCTTTAGAAGTTGCTTTCTCCTTAACTTCCTGATGTGATATCTGCCAAATAGAGGAATCCAGAACCGCATCCATGTTAATGGAGCCCATGTTTGAATGAAAGCTCATGTGGACGATGGAGGTGACGACAGAACCAATAACGATACCTAAAACCAAGAAAGAAAGGTTTTGACAGGAGACAGCATAGCCTCCTCTCTGTCTCACGAGCGTTGCAGTCTTTTGTCTGATCTTCATTTGGCTCTAGTTGTCCAGCGGGCTTAGCAATCAACCTATAGGCATGGAAACACAGATTGAGCAGAATCTTAAATCGTAGCAACCGAACCTTTTTGTACACTTCAGATGCAAATTAAAAAAGCCATCGAACAGAAGCAGAATCTCGGGGGTGTCTCCTCGTCTTCAAAATGGATCATAGAATACCGCGAAAGTACCAACAGCTCGAGCCGAGCACGCAGCTCTCGGAGGACGTTTCCAGTTACTCTCATGATATGTACACCCAACGTCAGGAATGCCACAGGAACAACGAATGGTTCCTGTATAAGCGGCACGCCCATCGTCGAGCAGGCAGAAAAATGCCACCAATGCACAGGTCAAATAGAGCCGTCACACACAGCACAACTGTTCCCTGGTCGAGAAATTCAACCAAAGAAACAATCAACTCGAAACTGTTGATGGATATCCAGATCCATGTCATGCTTAAGAAACGGAACCGCCACCAAGGATGTTGGGGATGCGAGGAAACGATCAAACACATCATCGCCGAAGCGACGAAAAACTAGAGGATTGTGCTGGCACCGACCGAGTGAATTGACGAGAAGAAATATCTGCATCAAAAGACTCAAAGGTAGCCAAATCCGAACGAACAGTTAGGGTTGAAGGCGCCCCACAGAGAACGATTGCACCCAAGGGTCTTATCTGACTTCATCTGCGTGGTCTGTCGAGGGTGGCATTTCCGATTCCATGTGTTTCTTTCCGCGCAGACGTTCGCAATCGATTTCGTCATTGATTTCATACCTTCTGGTTTTGGGCGATGCAACATGTTGGCAAACGAAACATAGGGGGGACTTACACAGCTCGATAGTACTACTATATTTTTATCCACACCATATGCATGCTGAATATCATCGAGAAGCGCCTGGTAGTATCAGTGATAAAGGCATACCAAGTATAGTATTGTATCTATGTTCTCACTTCGATACATATTTTATTCACAACGAAATGATTATCAACGCATGGGTTGCGTTCGTGCGTCCTCCGATATTCAATTTGATGAGATGGATCTATAATCGCGATATATATGATGATGAGAGTAAAACTATGTGTTGACGTTATCCTGCTCCCTATAGTACAGTACTAGTACTCTAAATGATTGGTTAGAAGGCCGGAGCAAAGAAAAAACTAAAACAACAAATGCAATTTACAGTCAATGAATTATCCTACAACTCGTCACCATAACGATCCATCACAGACGCCCGCTTCACCTTGTAACTTTGCGTCAGTTGGCCGTTGGCCATTGCGAATGGTTCCAGTGTAATGTGGGCAGCGTCTACTCGTTCCCATGCTCTGAAGCCATTCGAGGTAGCTTGCTTGACACTGGCGACCAGTGTCTTTTTCAAATCGGCATTCGCTCGCAATGCGTCGGTTCCCTCTCGAAGAATCTCGAGGTTTTCCTCGCAGCTAGCTTCAGTGCACTTGGGGTCATTGACGGCTTCATTGGCTGCTTGGAATTTGTCAGCTTGATCCTTGGTCAAGTACCCAGCCTTGAACAATTCATTAGGGCTTAGAACTGCTATGGAGATCAGTCGTCTTCCGTCTTGACCCGTCAACATGACTTGTTCAATCAAGTCTGATCCGCCAAGAATGGCATCTTCCAAAGGTTGTGGCTCAATGTTCTCTCCATTGGACAAGACAATAGTATCCTTGGCACGCCCGGTTAGAATGAGATCACCGGTAGCTGGATTCACACGGCCAAGATCTCCGGTATCAAACCATCCGTATTGATCAATTGCCTTGGCAGTTGCTTCAGGATTCTTGTAGTATCCCTTCATAACTTGAGGACCTCGTCCAATCACGACACCAATTTCTCCAATGGGCAAGGAGCGGCGATCCGATTGGTTGGTAGCCTTGCTTTCGGGATCGACGACGCGAACTTCACTATCCAAACAGGGTTTGCCGCAGCATCCAGCTGTGACCATGTTTTGATCAGATCGTCGGTATGCCAACAACGGACTGCATTCCGTCAAACCATAGCCTACTAAAACGTTAAACCCAGCAGTCTCATAAAAGGATTCCAAGGACCCGGCCAGAGCAGATCCACCAGAAATAATCGTCTTTAGGTTTCCACCAAAGCCATCCTTGACTTTCGACCAAACGAGCTTATCGCCGACGGCATTGATGGGAGCCAAACTTTTCAAAATAGCTTTACTCGCGATCCGTTCAAGAGGACCAGGAGCTTCATCAGCCACGACCAGACCCTTGGCTATCTTGGTGTGCTTGGCACGTAGAGCTCCAGTTTTGGTAAAGGTCTTGGATAGTGCCTTCACAGCAGCACTGCCCGAAGTAAACTTGTCTTGGACACCGGATGCGATCTTTTCCAGAACACGGGGCACCAAGACCAGCCATTCAGGCTTGTGCTTGGCCATATCATTCTTAAATGTTCGGATGCTGGAGTATACAACCTTGCAAGATCGTGTCAACATCCACAATTCAAAGGTTCGTTCGGTAATGTGCCAAACTGGCAAGAGCGACACCATGCTTTCGCCAGGAAGTGGTTCACCCTCTTCGTATGGCTTGGTGGGAGCGAGGCGATGTGAAATCTGATGAAGTAGATTGCCATGAGTCAACATGACACCCTTGGGGCTTCCAGTCGTTCCAGATGTGTAGACAATGGTTGCCAGATCCGGTTTGGACACTTTCGGAAATGACGACAGTTCTGGCAGACCAGTTTTGTCCAGCAAATCCGAGAAAAAGCTAATTTCAATTCCTAGTTCCGCCGACAACGTTGCAATGTCGTCGCTTGTCTTCTTCTCCTTGTGCATCAACACCACGCTCTTCACCGTTCCGAAAGATTCGTTGCTCAATCCCAATCCCGAAAGCCCCTTGTTCTTGGCATCCTTGTATAGCTTTTCCAACAGTCGGGGTCCTTGCAGGACAGCAATTCCCGCCGAGTCACTGTGTTCGTAAATGTATCTCAATTCGTCCATGGGAGCATCGGCTCCTCGCACCGCCGAAGCGCCTCCCGCCAGTTGAATTCCGTGATCGATCATGAGCCACTTGGCGGAATTCTCTCCCAAGACGGCGACGTTGACTCCCTTTTGCACTCCCAAGGATTGAAAAACAGCCGCACTCGTACGGATGATTTCGTCCATTTCTTTAAATGACAAATTGACCTTTTCATCGCACAAGTGATCGTCGACAATGGCGGTCTGGGAAGGAGTAATTTGGGCCAATTCCGACCATAACTGAGGGCAGGTCTCCAACATTTCTCGCATGGTCTGTAACTTGTTGATGGTAGGATTGGAAGTTGAATGATCCAATGGGTTGAGGGGTAGAGATTTGTCGGGCAAGATGTTGCCCGATCGATCCTTCTTTCGGTGTCTCAATGGATAGTCTGGATGCGATTCCTTCAAGTCTCCAAATAGCATCTCCTCTTCTTCTTCCGTGAGGCCCTCTTTCTGCAGTGTGTGTGTGTGCCATCATCGTCGTCAAGATTAATGAAAATACAAAATTGGACAAAGAAAGAAAGAAAGAAAGAAAGAAACCAAGGCATACTCGTTAGAGGAACCGATCGACCCGATGCAACAATTGAAAGAAAACCCAAGTCTACCATCACTACACAGTACTATATTATACATACCGTTTCAATTTCCTTTTCCGTTGCCACGAAAAGACTAGTTTTGCGGACGCCGATCTTGGTGGAAGACATTGTATTGAAACCATTTGCCGTCTGCTGGGACAGAGACAATAGTGTCAGGAAAAGAGCACCAGAGAGCTTCATCGCGGTTGCACGTTGTTGTGTGAAATGTGACGGTGCTTCAGAACAAGAATATATCTGCTGAGAATTTTAGAATTTTGGATTTCGACGGAAACCAATCAAAACTTCTTGCAACGGTAGGTTTCAAGGATCACTGAGGATAGGTCACTGAGGATTAGATGGCAAACTTTGACAGTGAACTGTATGTAGACTTGTTCTTGATGTCTTTTGCTTGCTTGCTGCGGATTGATTCATTCGTCAAGCGCATTGCGCCTCATCCTTGCGCTTTTAACCCAATACGTTTTGACGTGAACTAACGACGTGTACTGACAGCAATGACGTAATGCATACGTGGTAGTCTGTCCATCGCCCGAACTGCAGGCCAAATATACAGATAAAAGATACTGGGACTGACAGTCCGCGCTTATTCTTCCTCTTCCTCCAACAACATGACGAACGGTGGTAACATTACCACACCAGATGGTTCCAACAAGAACAACAAGAACAACAACAACAACAAGGCAATGGAAAAAGAACCAAACTGACCGCCAACCAAGACACAACAAGAACGGACGGCGTTCCACCTGCTGATGACAAAACACTTGGAGACTACATACATTGCTAACGAAGACGAACAATGGTTCAATGATGGTGGAACTGATGATCAAAAGACGGACTGTTCATGTATGAAGATCAAGACTTTGAAGAGAAATTATGGTTCTCTCAAAGCGATTCAAACATTCTGTGCCGCCCTGAAAAGGGAGATGTCTGTGAGGTTTGCAGCTGCCTTTTACATGCTTGCTTGCGGAGACGAATTGAGGTTCGAACAATTGGCAGATCTCACTCAGCTTTCTGTTCCATTAGAGAACTGCATTGCAAGATTGCGAATTGGCAAAGATGCTGAGTTGTCGGAAAGTACAGCAAAACCAAGAAGCGTCAATTTCATTCAAGTTTGTCGGAACGAAATCCAAAATAACGGACTTCTCAAGCATTTTGGTATCTTGATGGACGAACATCGTATGCGCACTACGCTTCTTGCCAGTTTTACGACGTGTTGGTGCCCTTGCAGTACACTGTAAATGAGACTTTGCAGTACTGTCCCATGTTGGTGAGCGTGAAAAATCGAGTGGCATATACGGTCCGAAACAACGTGAAGCTGCAATCGAGGCCATGAAACAAGTGTTTGCTGTCGCTGAGTCTAAGACTGGAGTATGTATGCTGTTTCTCATTGGTCTCGACGAATCATCGGAAGAATCAATCGTCTTCTTTAAAAGTGACACGTTTGGCCAAGGCAAAGTAATTACCGTGACTATTGTGGTATCAAATGAAGATGAGTTTGGAGCAACCAATCTTGCTTTGTGTTCGACTTGTGGGGGTGGACAGGAGTCCGAGGTCATGGTGTCGCATGCAGACCTTGCGCTCGGAGCAAAAGGTACTCGCTTGCTCCGAAGCAAGACGAAAAAAGATGGCCCATCCAAATAGTGTAGCAACGATGGCTATGGAAGCAAGAAGTACTCTATGGTTGAAAAAAAACTGAGAATACCCTATGTTAATGGTGCATTTGTGGCCGGGGTTGTTTTTGAAAAAGGAGAAAATTCTGAAAGCTACAGTAGCAAGCAGTTAGTATAAAATAGGAGCTAAAGTACTATTAGGCTTGGAAATAGATTGGAGCGGGAAGCTTGGAAAATTGAAAGAGTCGACAGAACTTTCTGCAGCACATGCCAGGGATCACCAACAGTCAACGCTCCTCAACAGCTTTGTGCCTTGTATTCCGCTTTAGCAAGTCGATGACCATTACTCTCCATCGCTTTCGCATGTATCCAATACACATGGGGGAATTTACAATAATAAGATGCCAGTGTAGTCTCCTCCGTCTTCTTGCGTCTACAATTCCAATTTCTCATGAGCGCAAGGTAACTTGAAACAATTGCGGGCCATGGGTACACAAGGTGGGGCCGAGGTACGCATAGTTCAATGCTTGGTCTGGCTGGCACTCGTCAATTTTGCAACAGGTTTTGAGAAAGGATCGAAGCAATTCGTAGGCCGCATACAATCCACCAGTTCCCGCCGGACAGTGCCGCTTTCCCAATCCAAAGGATGCAATCTTGTTGTGATCGGAATTTCCCCCCTCGAGCCAAGCCGATGGATCCCATTGACGATTTGTGGCGCAATTGTTCAGCAGCACTTCAAATTTGCAAGGCATGGCTTGTTGTTCATGATTGTGTGAAATTCGCGGCAAGGTCCAAACAGGAGGATATACTCGAACAGTTTCGATAAGAGCACACACCAAAAAGGATGGATTTTTCAATTGAATAGTCTTGCCTTGAGTCGCTTGTTTCTTGAATATGGAGAGCTGCAATAGATCGCGTTGGACTTGCTGTTCTCCAATGGCAAGACAACGTTCCCAGGCCCCTTGCTGTCGCGACAAATTCCACAAGGTCCAAAACACCATTGCTTGCACGGCATCCAAAGAAGCAATCATGGCACTGACAACATTGTCCGTAGCTTCTTCGGGTTGCAGACCAGACTCGAAGAGTGCCTGAACAAGGCCCTTTTCGGAGCTGCCTCCATCCGGATATTGCCATTTGCTTCCATTGCTGGAAAAATGATTCCATGGCAAGGCCTCTTCCAATTTTAAAAGAGACTTTTGCACTGCGCCTTGTTCCTTGTTCATTGCTCGTATCTCAGTCCAATGCTCCAAGGTTGCTTTTCTCAGCAAACCTTGATATTCGTCGGAAGAAGTAATCAAATTGTTGTCCCCGACAAAGAGTCGCCGATTCCATAGCTCTGCGGCTTCTACTATAACTTGTTTCAAATCCACAGTGAGTATTTTTGGCTGATGATTTGGTACTGGAGTTTCATTAGAACCCGTCTCTGTTTGTTCCGACCTGTGTAGTAGTAGTATGGACAGCCAATCCACTTGTTTGGTTGCTTGCAAGGATAGTTTCGGGACATTTGCCAATGCCGAACATACAATTGGCCGATGATTTCCCCAAACGTCACCGGTACACCGTGTGAGCGGTAGACGGACTCGAGGCTTCTCGAGTTGTGAATTTGACGTTACGGTCATCTTGTCCATGCCTTGTTCTTCATCATGTTCAAAGGTTGACGCATCCCAAACTAGTTGGACAGACTTTCGTGGCTTCTTTGTGTCGTTTAGAGGTAATAAGAGGCACTTTGTATTAGAGCTTGAGTGCAGTGAATGCCGTACGGCCCAAAGATTGTGTCCTGTGGCCGTCAACAAATTCATCCAGGTCGTCTCGTTTGCTAGGATTTCATCGTCGAAGCTGTCAACAGCGCAACAGCAGATGGAAGGCATTTTACAAGACTGTATCAAGAGCAGTAGATAGATAGATAGATAGATAGATAGTCGGATATTAGACCTACTGGAATATGATGGTGGAATATGAAACGGTGTGCATTGCTCTACGACGAGTCGCATTCATCATTGCAGCACAAGTATAATGCGGTACGTTTTAAAATATGTTGAAGTCCGAAAGTCTCTATTTCTCTGCTTCTCCATAATCCAGGCGTTTACGGGTATTTATTTTGCCCATCTGTTCTGATTCGATACGTTCCGATGCGGAGAAACGCGAGGACATGCCACAGATGATGCGGAGATGCATTGTTGAAGCGTGTTCTTCTTTACAATGATGAGAACGAGGTTCAGTAGAATAGTGTAGACAAGACAATGAAAAATTGGACTTATTCAATCTATTTTTTTGCTGTGTCTCTCGCGCGATGATGTGATAGCAAACACACATGGGTGTTGGTCAGTACTACTGATACCGGTACCCCTGTGATGTGCCCCTAGTATTATCCCTTTCTTGCTTATGATTGGCCCAACTTGCGTCTCTTGAAATTTTCCAGACGAGCTTCGGCCAACTTCCGTTTCTTGATTTCCAGTTGGCTGTGATCCCTTCCTTCTAGCATGGCGGTCTCATAAGATTTTCGGAGGTTTTTATTCTCCTCCTCTAGCTCAAGATTCATGCTGATCATCTTCCAAAGTTCGTCCTTCTCCCTGTTGGATCATCGCTGGACTTCCAATAGCTGGCAATGCAATGGCAGGTTCTTTTGCTCTGCTTCAGCCTTCTCGTATTTCAATTTCTTTAGCTGACTCACTCTTCAAAGCCAAGATTTCCCCCTTCCTTGTGTCTTTTCCATCTTAGATTGGTGAAGCAATGCGAAGTTTTTTTGGTCTGCTTCAGCCTTCTCCTCATTGGTTTGCTTTAGCAGAAGCAGTCGAACCTTGTTCGTGTCACGCTCTTGCTGTAGCTGACACTAGCTTTCTTGCTCGTCTGTCGAAGCTGAGATCTCAACTCTAAATTTGCCTCCCTCTCTTGAACGATTTGGTTGAGTAGCTGTTTTCTGGTGAGTCCTTCCAAGCTATCAGCGATACCAAGAACTGCTTCCCCCTTGTTCTTGCCCGTTAAGAATCCCATACGTCAGTTGCTTCTTCGGAAGAGCCGTCAAGTGTGACCTCATCCCCACTATCAGCCTCCCATTCGAGCTCGTTTTCATTTTCATCTTCATGCTCACCACCACTTACAGTATTATCATCCTTATATTCGTTGCAAATGGAGCTTGTGGATGACACGATGCCAGCGCCTTGCGTGCCTTTGTCATACGAACCACGCCGCGGGCTTCGTCTCCTTCCTGGGCCTCGAGGGTCCACCTTCGTTTCATTCGTCTGGTTTATTGCCTTTCGCTTCCTTCTCGATATGAATGCCACTTCTTGGCGCTCGTCCTCCTCGTTCCCTCCTCTATCTTACCCCAAGTTCCCAGTCTTGGAAGGAGCTTTAACGCTTGTCCTTCTTTCTAGATGCCACTCCCCGTGTTTGGCGAGTCTCGCATTCTGACACTTCAGACGACGATTCGTCATCATAATGGTAATTGTCGTCATCGTCTCTACTAGTCGTCTTGTCAGGAGAAGCGTCACAACTGTACTTCCTTTTAGATTTGCTTCCCTGGGCTTGGCCGCATACTGACTCCTCCGTCGTAGACGACGATTTGTCATCATCGTCGTCATTTGCTGCAGAGGTTCCAATAACAACGCCACCATCAAATCCAAGATTCTGGAGCTCAGAATTTTCGTCGATTGTCAACCGCGAATCCTTGCGCCCATTCCAAGCTGCCCCGTCCCACACAAATTCAAGATCCTCGAGTTCCACAAAGCGCTCTTGTGTCATCAGCGACTTCTTGTATTCCGCCCGTTGCGTATTTGGGGCCCAATTTTGCTTAGGGTCTGGTTCTCTAAAAAACGACCTGACACATTACACATTACAATGCCCATGAAGCTCTTTAATAAAGGCTATGAGCTCACGGATTCGAGTTTTCCAAACTATCTTATCGGCTTCCCACACAAATCCAAGATTTTCGAGTTCCACAAAGCGCTCTTATTGTGTGATTTGTGACTTGGCGTCTCCCTTCTTGCATTTTTGGTATTCGTTCCGCCCGTTGCTTGCAGACCCAATTGCATTAGGCCTTGTTCTCTGAAAAACCTTGTGGCACATTACAGTGCCCATGATCCTGTTTGAATTGGAGAAGTTCTTTGATTCGCTCCTCCCGTGTAATTGCTATGATATATGACTGGCTGAGTGCTGAACGGACTTGCTTGACTTGACATGAATCCTGCTCCAATTGTATTGAAGATGACAATGACGGGACGAGTTGAGCGAGATTATTTGTGCCACACTGGTCAATTATCGTTATAGACGAGTCGATCGTTCATTGCATCGCATTTTATGATTTCAAAACTATGCGATGAGAGTGAGTCGCTATGAGAGATGCGATGATAGATGTGATGCGCGCAATAATATTGCTGTGTCTCATCGTCTCTATTTCTCTTCTTTTCCACACTTGTCCCTCGTCACTACAGGAGCGGCCTGAAATGGCAGACTTGCTGGGAATGTCCTCAGATATGTCATAGATTCCCTGCAAGGATGACGGAAACTGACGTGCCGGTGACAGATTCTGCGCAATGCAGAGCTTGGGCTTCGCTGAAAACGAGCCTGCCTAAAGATTCATTTCATTCGTGGACGTTCCGTTGAAATGGATGAACTTCGTCGGACACTTCGTCGGACCGACGAAACTTCGTCGGAACCGACGAAACTTCGTCGGACCCGACGAAACTTCGTCGAACCCGACGAAACTTCGTCGGACCCGACGAAACTTCGTCGGACCCGACGAAACATGGTCGCATTAGGAATAGGACAGATTATTTTTTAAACCTCTTGATCGGATGAATCCTAAATCTATCACTCATCTGTTAGTATAATTCGTTGTTGACGTTTGAATTTCTGAAAACATGCAAAATGTCTGTAAACATCTCTGGCAACTTCGGCACATTGCTGTGGAGAGATAGAACCTGCCCTTTTTTATTTAGTTACCGTTTCTTGTTTTCTAGTGTACCGTTTTTTGCCGTTTTTGCATGTCATCCTCCTTGGACCAGCTTGCCACTACCAGCCCGATAGTGCAAATTTGAAGTTTTCGTCACGCAAGATTCTTGCGAGCTCTGAAATCAGTTTCGTCCATTTCATCCATTTCGTCCATTTCGACGAAGAATAGTCGGACTCCGACGAGAATAGTCGGACTCCGACGAAAATAGTCGGACTCCGACGAGAATAGTCGGACTTGACGAAGGTTCGACTATTTTCGTCCATTTGGACGAAGGTTCAACGGTTCGGAACCAGATCAAAAGGGCACGCACGCCGAGTAGTTTTGAAAAGAAAGACGCGCCAGTCAGCCTAACTTGGGTAAACAATTTAAGACTATACTACTCCCCTCATTTTGTCCGAACGACAACCCCGAAAAGCTGACTCGGCGCGTTTAGGTCCAGTTACAGGCCGCTCCAGTACTGTATCTCGCGTTCATCATAATCGTGCGATATCCACCAACCTACAGTAATATAATCGACAATAAGAAATATTCTCAATACAGTACCGCATAAATTGAAAATGTACAGTACGGGGTAGAGTCTGCAAATACCGCAACATGATATACTGTAGTGGGAAAGCAGAATAACGTGCAGTCGCAAAGCAGGGTAAAATAGAAAAAAATAAAAGTCGATTGAGTCGATATTGCGGTCGATTGAGTCGGCGGGAAAACGACAAAATTTTACACCAACAAATAAATTCACGTGCTCATCGTCGCCACCCACAAAATATAAAATATAGTAAAGCAAAGAAGACGGGCCACTTTGCAGAAAATCCAGCGGCAACACCACAATGGCAGCTGCCACAAACCCAAAGTCTCTAAAGCGGACATGGACGCAACCAACTGCAAACAACGATGGCTTTAATGATGAACATACACGTGCTGATGTCAGTCATATAATAATATGACTTCTTCTTCTTCTTCTTATAATCACAACAAGGAGAATAACAAAAATGATGATGTTCAAAGTGACGACCGACAAATGAACGAGAAATCGTCCTGCTGGAAGTGTCACGGACTCGGCAAGAAGTATCAAAAAGTTACCAAAAAATACGACGGCAAGATATGTGGGGTCTGTAATGGTACTGGAGCACGACAAGAATCAAAAAAGTCCCAGAAACTACAAGAGCAACCAGGCAAAATCATTCCTCTGCGAGGGATGCTTCCCCACAGTCGCAATCCTGGAGGTTTCTTGGGCCCACCGGCTGTGGGAAAGATTGATGGTGGTGGTGATGACGATGATGATGACTTGACGTCTTTCAAAATAAACAATGGTGAAATATTAGCGTCACTGGGGTGCGGGGACTGGCGAATCTTTCAATTGGCCAATGGACACAAATTGACGGTCGATGACTTTATCTGTGCCTGGGTGGCGTGCGTCGAAATGCGAGCACGGGGTTTTGGACCAACATCATCAATGGAAGCACCCTTTGGACAAGTCTGGAGCGAAACAGAGGAAAAGACAGGGAGACAAAAGTTCCGTCACGTGGACATTGGATGCGGATGTGGGAGCGTTTTGATGACCATGGGTTGGGCCTTTCCTGGCTCTATTCAATCTCACGGAGTAGAGGCACAAGCGGTATCGTTTGCTCTGTGTCAACGAGGCGTCAAGTTCAACTTGGGGGAAGAACAAAAATCGATTCAGTTGGTACATGCGGACCTTCGAAGCTGGGATCCCAACTCCAATGATAATGCTGGGAATGTCAACGAAGAAACTGATGGCACACAACAAACACTTTTTGATCTGGTTACTGGGACACCGCCCTATTTTCCATTGGATCGCTTTGTCGCTAGTGAGAATCATTCGCAAAAGATTCGTTGCCGCGTACCGACTCGTGGAGCGGCCTCGGACTACGTTGCTGCCGCGGCTCGATTGCTGAAACCGAATGGGATCTTTGTCATCGTAGAAACAGCTCGACAAGAGGCGGAGCAATGTGTGATGGAAGCAGCGGAGCAGCATCAACTCGGCGTTTGGAATCGAGTGGATGTGATTACAAGGACCGGTTTGCCACCCCGTTTCAGCTGTTGGGTCATGGGGAAACGAAGAACGAGTTACTCAGAGAACAATGACATTGGCAGTACTACTACTGCACCATCCTCATGGAAGTCCTTTCCCATCACAACCTTGACCCTGCGCGATGAAAATCAAATACGAACTGAAGAATATGTGGATGCCATGGAGATGATGGGCTGGATTGACTTTGAAGATAGCCGACAACAGTGGGCGAAAACGGTAAAGTGAGAAGGGGTGAATGGAACGGCGAATGGAAGGAATGTATGAATCAATCTACGTTACACATCCGCTGACACAAATGCTTTTCACAAACGCAAGAGCGAAGAATTGAGGCACGCTATTAGGC